CAATTGAATTGAGGCATGAATTTCTCAGGAGGAAATATGTGTATGCATGTAGAAGTTCTTAAGTATTTCCATGTCCTATATTTGAGGGTGCTACTCCTTTTATGCAGCCCAGTTTAAGATCTAATGTGTTTGGAAAGTTACTACTTCTTGTTGCATACAGTTAAATTCTATGCATACCTTCTGGAACTTTAGAATGATGGGGAACTGAGGTGGTATAGAAATCATCATAGTAGTATGGTGCTGTCTCAAGGCCTGGTGGAATGATATGCTTATGAAGCAGAATTGCTGGCTCTGTGTTATGGTCCCTACTTTAGGATCTTGTTATGAGATCATTTGGCATGGCTTATTAAGAGAGAATCTGAGGATCTCCAAGAGTTTGAAAGACTCAAGAAAACTCTTCTAAAATTATTTTCTGCTTAGCCTCGTTATTTCTTGCAGACGTACATACAGACTGGATATTAACTTTTCTCTTGAGATCAGGAACACCAAGACAAGTTCAAACACTGTGAACTGTCTGTCCAAACTTTCTATCCTAACTGACACTGATGCTAGATAGACATAATATCAATGAAATAAACATAGCAAAATAAACATTTATTAACAGCTCCAGCCTTAAGTCTTCTTCATCCTCCACTGGTAGACTTCGTCAATGCCACAATACTATGGCACATAGCATCACGCCCTCCCTCCAGCGTAAGCTTACAGTAGTAGTGGGCCATATGCCCAGCTTATTTTCTTGAAGCTTCAGCTGGAAAAAGACCTTCCTAGTAAGTCTGAACTTCATGCTCAGCTCAACATCAATTAATGTTGCTAAGGGATTTTGAAAAGTTCCTGTTCCTTATAAGGTAAAACCCATTTGCTTGGAGAGCAATTCATCAAAGGTTTAACACGAACAATTTACTACAAGTCTGCCGTCATAATCGTGCCCTTTCTCCTAATACGTGTGTGATATGTTAGAGAGGCAGGGAAATGCATGCAGATTTGTTCCTTTATTGCACTATGGCTTTTGAGGTTGTGGACTGTTGTGTTAAAGATGTTTGGGGGTTCTTGGGTACTGCCTCCAACTGTTGATTACTTCTTGAGCACGTTTATTAAAGGTGATGGGGTGAGGAAGGTAGCCAAACCTCTTTGGTATGGGATCGTCTTTGCAGGCCTTTGGAGCATTTGGCTGGAGCGTAATTCGATCATTTTTAATAACAGGAATCCCTTATGTTATGCATTGTGGGGAGGGGCAATTTTTTCTGCCATTGTTTGGGCTAAAGTGCATGATCATTTTTCAGACATTTCTGTTACTGACTGCTATCACTGCTGGGATATTTTGATACAAGATATGTAGCTTTCTCTGCTGAATGTTTTTTTCTGTTTCCTTTTTCTGCTTCTTTTTTTCTGTATGTGGGGTATGGATTTTCTTTTCCTTTTCTAGCTTTTATGGGGTTTTTTTGTTATCCTCTTCTTATCCTTGATGAGAGGATGTCTCTTCTTTTCTTAGATGCACTTTTTTCTC